AACGAATCGAAAAGTTCTGGACCACTTATGACTTCAAAAATGACTATTTTTACTGAAAGAAAAATTGAATTTGACTTTTTTTCCGTTTCAAACACATTTCATATTTTCTAGCAAAGTTGATTGATAATACTCTCTTTCCGCTCAATACAACTTTTAAACTTCAAAAAAAAAATTTTTAAGCAATTTTTGCAGGTCCCACCACCCAGCTATAGTCAAGTCAAGCTAGGAATCGACTCCAAACCTCCAGCACCCCCATCCAAACCCATTTCCCAAGCCCAAGCTCTTCAAGCCCAGGTCCTTCAAAACGAAACCTTCTCCTCGAAACCCCCATCAGACCCCTACCGTGCCCCACCCATCAAACCCACAAACTCCTACCGTATACCCTATGACGTGGCACTTGATCCAAGACATCATCCTGAATTCGATATCGATGATTCTGCGTCTATAATCTCTTCGTCTTGCACTTTCGGAGAGTCTTCTGAAATTGCAGCGTTCAGTGCTGCAGCAGAGCAACGGCATTTGTATGAGCAATATAAGAGGAAGCTGTTGGAAGAGAAAATGATGGAAGAGTTAAAGGAGGATAGTGAGACACCGGCTGTATCGATTTCCGAGAATGAGGTTCCCCGATCGATATTCGAAACAGACCTAATCCCATTTGGTCATGTGACAACGGCTCCTGTTACCACCGCTCCACCCATTGCTACAGTACCCCCTCAGAAACCTGCAGATCTAAGTTTCAAATATTCTCCACCACAACAATCACCATCAAGCGACAAACAACGATCACTAGACCTCGAAAGTTCTCAACTACTGGTCAAACCCAAGTCCCCTGCCCCATATTCCACGTCGTCTAGTGATCACTATGGGACAATTCGAAGGAAACATAAACCAGTGGCGATAGAGATATCACCAAAGATATCACCAAAGTTATCACCTAGTGATAAGATTTCACCCAAATTCTTTGGAAATGGATTTGAGGAGAAGCAGAAAGACAGGACGCCAGTGAAGCTGTATCCAGATGTGGGATTTGGGAATAGTGAGAGGTGAAAAGTTTTTCTTATTTTTCTTATTTTTGGTCAAAAACAGGGCCGTGGCTTTTCGGTTAGGGTACTTCTAGGCTAGGTAATAATCAACGGCCTGGCGGCCACCGCCGACCGCGGCCCTGTTTTTTATTTGCCTTGCTTTTTTCACTCTATGAATAATCACACAAATGATATAATTACAAAACTGAAATGTTGAAATCAAAAAAAAATAAGCAAAATCTTACTTTTTGAAAAAGAAATATGATAAAACAGAAACTGTAAAACGTTTATAAACTTTAGTTTTTCGTATAAATGACGAAAAATCAGAAAAAGCACAAAAACAGAAAATGTTATTTTTCTTTCCAAATAATACAGATCGTATTAAACAACATAATAGAAATTTCAAAAACTATTCCAAAAGAAGGTATAACATGATTATCAAAAGTTAAAACTGTAAAATAATACTGCAAAATTAAAACAGTAAAAAATTTCAGAATTTTCGTTTTTCAAAAGTTCAATGTTGATCTTGACCTGACTACTTTTGCTGTGAAAATGTCTGTTTAATCCGACAAAAAATGTTGAAAATTGATTTTAACTGACTACAAATACTAAAAATATTTCCCTGTACCTCTAAAGCGAGTTGAAACATTGAAGTGAAAATTCTCAAAACTTTCCGTTTCACTTGTTTTTTTGAATTTTGTCATTATTCAAATGTTGTCAATTCCTGGCAGATACAACCACCAAGTAAACCTTTGATTTAAAATTTAATCGAAACGAAAACTCAAACTTAATTCCATATACTCAAAAAACTAAATTTATCTAACTAAAAAATAATATATATTTTCAGCCTCAATGAATCTCTCAACCAAGCATTTGAAATCGCCTCATCCATCGAATCGGCAAAAAATAATTATGAAGCTCCGCACACCACTCCGAAAAGCTTAACAAGTGGTGAGTCTTTTGCACTATTACCCGTCATAAAATTAGTTTTAAGAAAAAATTGCAATAGTTATGAAGTTAGTAAAACAGTGAAAAAAGTCAACTTTTTGAAAATTTCAGAGTATACTAAACAAAAATAGAACTTCAATTTTTAGTTGACAATTTTTTATACAAATTCATCCAAATGAGATATGCCGCTTCAGAGTCATGCCACATTTATGCGGTATATCTCATTTGGATAAATTTATACAAAAAAGTTGTCAACTACAAAATTGACGTTCTATTTTTGTTTAGTATACTCTAAAATTTTCAGACAAATCGGAAAATTCTAAGCTACTTTTGTTGGACTTCAAAAAAGACTACTTTCAATGGAAAAAATCAAACAAATTGTATTTCAGTTTTAAATACATTTTATATGTTCTAGCAAAATTAATTTCTTGTTCTGGCGGCGGTACACATTCCTCAATAGAACTCAATTTGAAAAACACGCATCTATTGTCTCAATAGAGCGCAATTGCAGTTTTTATTGCTATTCTTTTTTTGCTGTTTCAAGAGGTGCTAGTGAATTTGTAAACGTATTTCCCACAATCACAATGGCTCTCAAGATTGAGATTTTTATCGGTTCCTGTTGAAGATATCAGAAATGTAGCAATTGATAAAATGTTAGTGATATAATCATAAACATTTTATCATTAGATTACATTTAAAAATCTTTTACAGAAACCAAGCTACATGAGACTAAAAGTTGGCAAATTTTGGGTGTTTAGGCTTGAGTGGTTACGGTATTTTGGTCCGACACAGTAATATGTTTACAGTTTTAGGCACATTTCATATTTTGAAGCGAAATTAGTTGCTGATCTTGAAAGAACCCTCGGATGAATAGAGCGCAACTCTAAAAACACCTATTGATTTTCTCAATAGAGCGCATTTGCAATTTTTCTAGCTATTCTTTTATTGACTGTTTCAAGATGTTTTTAAAATGTTTAGTGGGTTCGTAAATGTGTTCGTTAATATTTTTCCTACCGTTAAAAATCCAATAGAATGGCCCTCAACTATAAGTCAATTAATCTCGGTTCCTGTTAAAGATATTAGAAACATGACAACTGATAAAATGTTAGTGATATTATGATAAACGTTTTGTTAGTTGACCACTTTTCAGTATCTTTCATAGTAAATGAGTTATGAGAGCTCCATATTCACTAGAAAATATTTCATTAGAGCGCGCTTTCCAAAGTTTCCTGAAACATGAAAACAATACCCCCCCCCCCTCCCTCTTTCTCTGTTTTCTCAGCACTAAAATATACATAAAAACAAAAGACACCACTTGTCTTCAGTCTTTATACATTTGTTGTTTTATGCAAACATGAAAACCTAGAAGGCTCACTCCGGAAGTTGCAGGAGGAGACCGCTCGATTTCGGACACATATCCAGTATCCTCGGTTGTCTCTTCGCCACCAATGGATCCAACGACAACACAGACTAATAAGGAGCCCGAGACGATGAGCAATTCAATGAGCACAAATATGGATGACTCTATTATTATTCATAAACACGAGAGCCCTGATTCGTCGCCCGATCGAAATGAGGATATGTCACAATGGTATCGGAAAATGTTCAAACAAATGCATAAAAAGGGCGATGAGGAGCAACCGAAGACGGCGTCAGAGTTTGAGAGATTTGGTGAGTTGTTTTGGGTGTCCTATTTTTTTTTAATTCGAAAAGAAAAAATTATCAAGATATCTCTCAGGAGTGAATAGATTATTTTTAAAGAAAAAAACACTAATTATGAAGTCAGTGAAACAGTACCGGACCAAAAAAATCACATTCTGACTTCTTCCGGGAATCATAACATGTGAGATAATTATTATAATACGTTAGTTTTGAAAGTGTGAAAAAAAACGTAGAATTCACAGAATAGATAATTTTTCGCAGTTTTTTTTGGTTATTTATAAGAAAAGTGCAATTTTCGCTCTAATTGGTCAGAAGCCAAATTTTCGACCGCGCAGCTCGGCACTAACTATACTTCAGCACTGCAAAAGCAACGTATCATAATCAAAATTTATTTGCTTTCTTTGTTATCTTGATAAAACAGTGAACATTTTATCAGAAATCAGTGTGTGTTATCAAGAAATGTGTAAATCTCATTCATGAAAAACTTGAAAGCTTTCAGCTTTAAGCTGATGTATGACTTCTAGAAACAAATATCAAAGAAAATTATGTTTATAATTTTATACACTGATACAGTAAAGTTAGTAAAAAAGTATTTTCCTGTTTCGAGGAACGCGGAGAAATCAAGAAAAATATTAGTGATCATGTATGGTTAGATTTGTCGATTAGTAACCGTTTTTCAGTTATTTTGTGTTTTTTTTTCAGAAAACAATTTTCTTAAAAAATAAAAAAACAAGATCATAACATTGAGGAAAACAGGTGAAAATCTTGATTACTACCAATTTCCCAATTGTCCCGATTTTTAAGAAAATTTATTTTTTCATACGTTGGTATTGAAAAAGTAAAAAAACTTAATATCCTCAGAAGACACTTTTATTAGACGCCTAGTTATTTTCGGGTTATTTATCGGAACAGTTAAATGTAAGCTCACGCTCTGATTGGTCGGTAGAATATTTCTCCATCGTGTAGCTCAGCGGCTCGGCACCTCCGATACTTTGCACACAGGTTCATCTCCTCAACAAGCTATACTAGACACAGCTAGGTTTCATCAGTATCATAACCGAAAATTTTCGGCTTTCTTTGTCACCCTGACAAAACAGTGAAAGTTTCATCAAAAACCACTCAGACAAGAACAAAGTTCCTGCCGGGGGGTTAAGAAGGATGCCGGCAGGCTATTGAAGTGGTCGCAGGAGAAAGTACCTGCCGGCGGGCTAAACGACACTCCGCTCGCCGGGATTTTAATTTGCATATTTTATTATTTTGTTTTAAATCTAAAATTGATTATGTCTATTATTTTACTAAATTTCTTTTACGAGGTATATACAATTATTTGTTCCGACACTGCGTACATTCTGAAAAGGAAAAGTATTGCACCGACATTGCAAATTTCCTTATATTTTCCAGAAAATCCCAAAATGACTCCTCAAACACCTCGCGGTCGTTTCTGCAACAATGGATCTGTGTCTACGTTTCCTAAAAACGACAAATCGGGAAACGAAAAACGACAAATCGGGAACTACCCTCAACAAATCTGGAAATAACCTCACAACTACCCTCACCGGTGAACAAAACAATATAGAGAATTCAGGATTTTAAATTATCTATTCCAGATCGGCTTATGAGTTTCGTATACTTTGACAAACTCGATATCTACGCTACTGGCAGACTTCTTGCTCAAGAGTCAAAACAAAAGGATAGGAAGAGATTGTCTAGATGATTATCAGGATGAATATTTCAATGCAGAGGAGTTATTGGATGATGATTCTGATGGTCGTCAAAAAAAAATTATGAGAACTTTACGGAGCTTTTTGAAGAGACTGAATTCGCTTCCGAAAACAATGAATGCGAAAATGATTCAAGCTCTAAAGATAGTGAGTTGTTTTCTTCATTGTTTTCAAAATTCCTATAACTGATTTCAGTACTCGTCTTTGTCTCGTTTATCCTTATGCTCCGGTTATCGCGAACCCAAGTTAAAATGGCAATCGCAAACGTCGAATATTTTCTAAAATGTTCTCTGCCTTTCACGGTCAGTCCAGCTACTTTAATTCAGATCATAATGTCATTTTCAGGCAAAAGAAGTGTTCGATGAAGTAAACCGCCGACGTATGAGTCACGCTCCAAAAACTCTGCATTTTTGTCCAAAGTGTTTATGTTTCATACCGAAAAAACAATCATGCTCAAATTTTGGTCAGCAGCAGAAATTCGAATGCGGAGCCCCGAATGGAACGAATTCATCAAAGATTCATCGTCAATTTAGTATGTTTTCCACTGAATTTTTTGTTCGTTGACTTTGGAATCTTTTTCCAGTTATCGAGCTTTTGTGCGAAATCAGCCGTTCAAGTCTACATCATCTTCGCATCCGGGTCCGCAGAAGAGTCAAATGCATTTGATGAAATTTCGAAAAAGGAGAAATACTAGAGGATTCGGATCTGTATGCTTATTCATGATTCGAGGAGGCAGAGCTACGTATTTCATGATTCGAGGAGGCAGAGCTACGTGCTCATAGAAGAATATGGATCAGCAGCTGCTCTAAGACTTGATTTTTCAAAATTAGCTCGGAACACGCAACGTTTGGCTAGGTCAATTAAACTTTTTGCTGACAATAATTGTGACTCTCTTATTGTTAAATGCACTAACCTAGTTGGTCTCACATTGATCCCCACTTCTGATGTTTTATCTCCTTTCCTATCAATCCAGTTTGATGGAAACACTTATTTCTGCCCCATTCGTTACTCCCCCATTGTTGTTAGATAAGAATAATTTCTTTTGATAATAAAAACTTATATTTTGTTAATATTCTCATTTAATTTTCATGAAAAAGGCCCTGGAAGAGGAAGGGGGAAAGAACAGAAAGCATTTACCTGCCGGCGTGAAAGTCCATGCCGGCAAGCTAAAAAAAAAGTCCCTGCCGCTGCCCTGCAGCAGGAACTTCCCTTAACCCCCCGGCGGGAACTTTATTCTTGTCTGAGCAGTATAATCTGAAAATATCTCACTTCTGATACATTTGAAAGTTTTCATAGCTAAACTCTTCACAGAATGACGTCAGAGAAAAAGTATTACCACCCATAATATTGTCTAGAAACTGTAATAAATTTTACTAAAGTTAAGTACGAAGTATGCCTGTTTCTTTGAAAAAAAGAATTTTCGGTAGTAGTGATATTTAACAAATAATATCACTATCAAAATTCCTTTTTGACGCACTGACATACATAACGGTAAAATATTTTATAAAAAATCAATGTAATCAATAAATGTGTGGATCTCAGTTCTGAAACATTTGTAAGGAATTATAGCACCACTCGCTACTGATCAACTTCAAAGAGAACATATCAATTATTAATAGAAACTGTAAGAAATAGTATCATACTTAAGTTAGTGTTGATCAGTGCCGAGCAACTTGAAGAAATCAGAAAAGATAGCAGTTTTCAACAACTCCATAGTACAAAAACCCCGCCAGCCCAAATTTTTTTGAACACAATGAAACAGTGAATTTGAAAATGAAGAAACGGGTTCTATCGAACTCGGAAATTGGCGGTGTTCCTTGAGTCGCTACTCACATTCAGTTACCGCTCTACACGGTACGGTTCAAAATTGGCGCCAAATGGCTCCGCGTCACTTCGAAACCGCGACGTTTTGAAACCGGTCATTTCGAAACTGCGTGACACTTCGAAACCAGTTATTTCGAAACTGCGAAATTTACATGCTGCAATATTTTTTCTTTAATTTAAGACTTTAATTTTCTAATTTTCGATTTCATTTTTACGTGACTGGGTTTTTTTCGGTTTCGAAATGACCGGTTTCGAAGTGACAATAACTGTGTCATCCAATTCATTCATTAAAATAAACTTGAAACAGTAAAAATATTTCCAATAATGGTAGTCCGCATTTTGAAGTGAAATAACAGCCTTTAGTTGCCCTTCAAGCTCAGTTATTTCAATTTCTGTGAGAGATACTAAAAATCTGTCAACTGATAAAATATTTATCATAATATCACTAACATTTCTGTAGTTAACAAAATTTTTATATCTCTTATAGAAACTGAGATAATTGAGCTCAAAGTGCGATTTAGAGGAAAAGGTGTATTTTTTCTGTTTCTTCTCGTTGTCATAAACCCATTTAACAAAAAAGGCACTCATTGTGAAGTGTTCGGAGTCGTTCTATTAAAGAATTTACGATACGTATACAAAACCGTATGTCCCTTTAGCTCTTCCCCCATAATTCTCGAAATCATGCAAAATCAGTGTGCTGATGATGATCAAAGTTGTTTTAACAACGCGCGTCTCGGCACCGGGCGATCTGAGTAAACAAGGAATAACGGGCGGTCTTTTTAGAAACATATTTTCTATATTTTCTCTCCTGCGTCTCTCTCTACCATCCTCTATCTCTTTTTTTCCTTAGAAACAAATAGACAAAATGTGCTTCTTCTCTCTCTATGTGTTGCATTTTCGCCTGTCTCCACCGACAACTAATTTTACGCATATTTTTGTGCTGTTTCGACATTTTGACTAATGTGTTGATCGCTTATATCTTCTAATTCGCGTGTATAATCAAATGCATTTTTAAATTCAGAAACTGACGGGGTGGAATTGTAATACCTGTTTTTAAAAATTATTGTAAGCTTGATGTAAGATTATTTTGAGCTTACTGTAGACTAAAAACCTGTAGAAGGGCACCATTTACTTTGAGCTCATTTATTTCGGTTCCTGTGAGAGATATCAAAAAGTAGTCAATCAACAAAATGTTTATTATATTATCAAAAATGTTTTATCAGTTTGTCACATTTCTCACAAACTCAAAAAAACCGACATGAAGTGGTTCTAAGTGTAGGAGATTTTCTATCACAGGTTTTGAATTTTCGTTGAGAAAATTGATAAAAAAGCAAAATTCAGCACTGGAATGTCCTGGGTATCAACTGATTTATTTTTTTATGAATTACTGACCAATCAGTATTATTCATCATACATATGATTATCTTAACTTACAGTAACAGTAAATTATTGAAATTGCAAAACATAAAGGACAGAATTCAACGTAAATTTGAAAGTTGGAAGCGAAATATGATTTCACACCTTTCTGTGTCAATTAGCTACAAAGTTGAACAAGTTCTAGATAAATCTTAACTTTTTGAATATTTCAATCAAATGTAACTCAATATTCCTTTTTTGAACGTATGTTCTAAAATATGTTATGTTTTTTTTCACTGTTTCCTAAATTTCATTTAATGTTGTAAAGCCATGAACAAACAATGCATCAATCACTGTTTTGATTTTCCGAAACTTCTAGAAATGTTATCGAAACATATATTTTTACCGCAAGCAAGCTGGTGCGCCTTCGGCGCGATTTAATCTACTTTTTTACTGGTTCAGCACTTCACTCTTTTCTTTTTCTTGAATAGTCACGTAAATTTATATTTATTTTTCAAGTTTTTCAAAAGTTGACAGACGGACATTAGGACGGACAGACGCCTCTAGCGTTTTATATATAAGGAAGATTAAAATTCTCTTACAAGGGAGTTACTTGAGGGAGCAGGTTTAACTTTTTTGAAATTTTGGGAGCAGATAGAAGAGCTTACGAGGATTCCAAATCTGTTAAAAAAATCAACAAAATGCTCACGTGAGCTGAGTTATGACCTAGAAAAGTTTGCCTATGATTAAGCAATTTCTCGTGAAATTTTTTTCACGGAATAGTGTATTTCTTTTAAAACAATAGATTTCAATCAGCAGTGTGGTAAAGTGGTAAAATGGCAAGTTCAGAGGAGGAAGGTTGTAGGTTCAATTCTCCCGATCCCAAAAATTTTGCAAAATTTTTTTTTGTTTTATTTTAAGCTGCCATAACTGGCTCTGGAATAAAATTTACGCAATTTAAACATGTTTTTCGGGAGTTTCTCGTTATGAGTAGGCATTTTCCAGAATAAAAACAGACATTTAATTTTTGAAGAAATTCACAAATATGCAATTGTTTTTTTTATTGAAAAAACAGTTGAGGATTCTAAACACATCGGTGGCATTCGATGACAAACTACTGGAAACATATATTCTTGACATCTGCCAATATGCTTGGCTCAGCATCTGCAATCAAAAAATGAGAGGCGTTTTCAGAAACTTCAGAAACTTTGATATCAATTCAAGAAGTTCATGAAGAACTTGACGGAATATGCGCAAAGAAAAGAGAAGGACTTTAAGCCACATCAACGAGATTCATCAAAGTTTCTGAAGTTTCTGAAAACGTCCCTCATTTTTTGATTGCAGATGGTGAGCCAAGCATATTGGCAGATGTATATTTGTGAATTTCTTCAAAAATTAAATGCCTGTTTTTATTCTGGAAAATGCCTATTCATAACGAGAAACTCCCGAAAAACATGTTTAGATTGCGTAAATTTTATTCCAGAGCCAGTTATGGCAGCTTAAAATAAAACAAAAAAAGTTTTGCAAAATTTTTGGGATCGGGAGAATTGAACCTACAACCTTCCTCCTCTGAACTTGCCATTTTACCACTTTACCACACTGCTGATTGAAATCTATTGTTTTAAAAGAAATACACTATTCCGTGAAAAAAATTTCACTAGAAATTGCTTAATCATAGGGAAACTTTTATAGGTCATAACTCAGTTCACGTGAGCATTTTGCTGATTTTTTAAACAGATTTGGAATCCTCATAAGCTCTTCTATCTGCTCCCAAAACTTCAAAAAAAAGTTAAACCTGCTCCCTCAAGTAACTCCCTTGTTAGTTTTGGAACGTTTTCATTAACTAGGGAAATAAAGTGAACGCAATTAAAATCAAACTTTTATACTGTATCGCTTATCTTCCCATGATTTTCTGCTTCATATTGTATTATGATCGTAGTTAGACTGTAATTTTCGTTTAATTGAACGAAAATAAATAAAAGTGAACAAAACTAAATTTCAAACTTATCTGTTTCCAACTATTATTGTTAACAACCCGGAAAAAATGAATAACAATGTACGAAAGCTTGGTCGACATTTTTGCAACACAATTGTAAAGTCTCATAGATTCGAATTACTGAAAAATTCAGAAAAAAATAACAATTTTTCGGAAAACAAACCATTTACAAATGTTTCAAACTGTTTATATTAACTTTTTCATCCAAAAAACAAAAACAATTATAAAAATTTTTCATAGAGCTTTATCCTAAACTTGTATTTTGAGCTCGATTATCTCGGTGCCTATATGAGGTATCAAAAATTGTTCAACTGATAAAATATTTTTGATAATATCACCAACAGTTTATCCGTTTACACATTTTTGTCTTCATTTACTGAACTTGAGATATGTGAGCTAAAAGTTCAATAAGCGTTCTAGAGTTGTTTTTTTTCTGTTTCTTCTTGTGGTCATAAGCTGGACTAACCAAAACGTCAGGTTTTGTACTTCATTCTTATCTTCCATTGTCTTATTTTTCTTCAAACTCAAACCCGTTTCGCACACTCGCTGATTCTTTTGTTTCTTTTTTTTCCTATCTCTTCCACATTCTAAAGTAAATAACAGTTTAACAAAAATAAGCACTTTTCCTCCTATTTTTCCCAATCTTTTTTTAGTACTTTTTAACTTACCGCTGACTATTACAGCAGAAGTTATGAATTAAATATAGCTCAAAGTATACCGCGTAGGTCAAATGGGTTTTGATTTTTTATATAAAGTCAGAATAGGAAATTTACCCATTGAAAATCTTGTAGCTATCAAAATCTTATGATTTACATGAAACTGGTAAAAACATTTTAGACATTTCTACGAAAAAGTAGTCATTTAGAACCTCTTTTTAACGAGAGTTCAAAAAAACATACCTGATTCTGCCCATCCTATACGTGCTCTTTGAGCTCAATTATCTTGGTTCCTATGAGAGATATAAAAAATTTTTCATCTGATAAAATATTGGTGATATAATGATAAGAATTTAATCAGATGACAATTTTCGATATCTTTTGAAGGAACAGAAATTTTGAGCCTGAAAGAAATGCTTTAACTCTTTCAAAATTTGCTGTTTCTTAATGTGACTAAAAAACTTGAAATTTTTGAATTCCTCAATTGTATCCTTTACTTTCGTTCAGCTGATACCACCCCAACTGGAAACTTGAGAAGAAGTCAGGAGAGCCTACACCAACAGAATCATCGGACCACACCATCCGTGTCGCCAAAATCGCCACACCACGATTCGCAGATTTCCGGGAGTTTTGTGGAGCATGGTAGGCTACGTCTTTTTGTACTTTGAAAGAGCTTACCTTCGATAGAAGCCCACCCAAGTTTGAGCTCGATTATCACGATTTCAGTAAAATATATAAAAATTTGACAACTGGTAAATCATTTATCATTATATCACCAATATTTCATCAGTTTTAAATTTTGGATATATCTCATAGGAATCGAGATATTCAAGCTCAAAGTTGACGGTTTGGGAAGCTTCTATTAGAGGAAATACGGTACCACTTATCTGAATGGTTAATCGACTGTGTATGCCAATACTGCCTATAAAAAAGTCAGTGAAACAGGAACAAAAGAAATTTTGAGAAATTCCGAGAACTCTAAAAAAACTTGTGTGCTCGATGTATTGGAATGTGTGTGCAGTGAGAGCTACTAACCAATATTTTGAAACAGTAATATTTTTTTAACAAAAAATATTATGTTTCAATCGCATTACTACTTTATGTATGGTCAGCAGGAATTCTCTTTGTAAAGGAATTTGCTCTAAAATCGCTAATTGACAAAGCTTAATTTTAATTTTTGCCAGTTTTATTAATAAAAAGCCGAATAACAGAGAACTAATCATTTTTTTCATTATTGCGTAGAGGTGTACAGTTATCGGTTTTACACTTTTTGGGAACTACCGTACCCTTTTTGCGATTCTTTGGTAGGGAAATGGAAGAAATAATTTTCTCGGAAAAAATTTTTCAAGAAATTTTTTTGTATTGTATTATTTTTTTTGTTTTTTTTGTATTAGTTTCTACAACAATTTCTGTTTCTAAATATTGCAAAAAAAACTTAAAATTATGATTTCCATTATACTTTGTTTCTTTTGAGCCATCGAGCTGGAACAAAAACAATAGATTCATTATCTAATGAAAAAAGAATAATGTGAAGACATCTTCATGGAACAGAAAATCTTCAAAATTTCCTCTGGTTTCAAAAAAAAAGTTAGAAGTAGAACATAATCTAAATGAGTAGTTCGATGTTTTCCAAATAATTTGATTTGCTAATTTTCGAGTGATTTAAATACGTATTATTGGATGAAAATGATTTTTTTCATAATATGAAAATTGTGAAGCAGTAATGTTTTTAAAGGAGGGAGAATATGAGAAGTTATTTAGAAATTATACGGAAGAATAACATACAGTACCGGTCAAAAATATATTCAGTTGACTTTTGACATTTTCAAATTTTTTTTGCTCGGCTGTCAAGTGTCCAATCACTTTCGAAATTTCAGAGGTGATAAAACATATCTTGATTGGTAACTTTAAATTTACAGTTTTTTTTTAATTCATAGTTTAAGATTTGATTTATTGGGTCGCTGAGGTTTGGCTGGTCCACGTGGCGGCCGACCGTGGCCGGGATCACAACCTTCGTCTTCTTGAAGATAGCCTTTCTTTACATTTCTCATCGGAGCCCCATAAGCTTTATTGAATCTACTCAATTCACTCAAAAAAGGGCCTTCATGAATAAGACAAAAAAAGACCGGCGGTACCCTGTGAATTGAATAACGCGTCTCTGTCTGCCGTCTCTCTTTTTACACACTCTCTCGTTTTCTCTCGAAGGCAACATATGTGTCTTCTGCATAAGGAAAGGGTTTTTCCTAGCCTTTTTTGTTTATATTCTCTAGTTTTTTGACAAGAAAATCACCGTTAGGATAATATAATAATGAAAAAGAGTGAGTTCATGGTAGTTTTTGTTGGATAAGAAAGAAATTCTCATAGTACACCAAACCAAAATTTTTATAGCTGACAACTTTTTGTATAAGGTTTCAAAAGTTAGATATAGCGCTCTTTCAAGCATTATCACTGAATTCTGAGCTATGCACTTTGAAGCGGCTTATCTCATTAGGATGAATTTAGACTAAAAAATTGTCAACTACAAAATTCAAGGATGTGCGACGGTCGGCCGCGGCCGACCGCCATTTCCATAGATTACTGTATAAATGTGTGTGCACATTCAATAACCCTCTAACTGTTTCAAGGTGTGCCTTCCTCATCAACAACTCCACCACAAACTACAAGTGCACTACAAACAACAACAAATCGAAAATACATCGCTCGACCACCGCACTTCCATCTACCAACGTATCGATTTCGAGATGAAGATCCACGGCCGCATAGATGCACTTTTAACAATTGCCTGTTGAAAAATAACAAGTATGGAACGCCGTGTATGATGTGTGACCGGCCCCGGAAGGATATAGAGTTTAAGGATGTGGATGTGATTTATGAGAATATGAAGAAAATGAAAGAGGAGAAACGACAGAGGTCACAGAATAGTTTGGGTAGGGAATTTGGGAATTAGAAATTGTGTAGCTCATACTCAGTTGTTATTAACTTTTCTGAACTTTAAGCTAGTTCAGTACAGTAGATGACCGTAGATGCTGTATAGTAATAAAGATTGAAACTTTTAAAAATTAGGAGGACCTGAAACATCAATTTTTAAATTTAGATTCACCCCAGCGAGAATTGATTACCGTAAAACCTCTAATAGAACGACACCCGGATCGTCCACTTTGAGCCTATATATCTCATTTTCTGTGAAAGATATCAAAAAGTGGCTAACTAATAAAATGTTGCTGATATCCTGATAAACATTTTACTAGTTAACCACTTTTTGATATCTTTCAAAAGAAGTGAGATATATAGGCTCAAAGTGGACGATCCGGGTGTCGTTCTATTAGAGGTTTTACGGTATCTAAAAATTGGCAATACTTTCAAAAATGATATGGAACAGTAAAAATAATTTTGATACGAATGAAATCCCCGGAAGTTAAGAAGTCCATCAATTGAATTTTTCTTGTTGGGCCCTATCAACTTGAGCCTAAATTTTCTGGTTTCCAAAAAAGATATCAAAAATCTATCAACTTAAATAAATGTTCATCATAATATCACCAACATCTTATCAGTTAGCACATTTTTAATGTCTCTTACAGGAACCGAGATAAATTTGGTCAAAGTTGTGCTACTTAATTTTAATTCAAATTCTAACCCACCACTTTACCAGCTAGGCAAATAGCAGTGTCTGAAAATATTGACACAGTGAAACAGCATTTTTATTTTAGGTTTAGGAGTTCAAAAAGTTGTACACTTGAAGTTGCTCTATGTAACATTTGAATTTTTCATATTCCATTTTCTAGAAGAGAGATAACAAGCATAAACCTTTGACAACAAAATGTATGTTTCCCAGAATTTTGTAAAAATTTATATTCTCATTTTTTATTTTCGCCGTTAAACAGAAAAAACAACTAGAAAAAATTTTGTGGATTAACATAAAACTTACGAAACTGAAATTTTTTTGTTCTAGAAATTTTCTTACAATAATTAGAACGTTAGAATCAAGTGTTAGAATCAAATGTTAGAATAAAAAAACACAGTTTCAGCCAGTCTAAAAGTTACTTTCCCTTTTGAATATTGGATGTTCTATCCATATCTTGTATACTTCCACTTTCAACTCAATTATCGCAGTTCCTATATGAGATATCAAAAAACTGTTAACTTAGGTATAAACTGTTGCTGATAACATTACAAACATTTTTTCAGTTGACACTATTTTGATAGCTGTTATAGGATACGAGATAACTAAGGTCAAAGTGAATGCGGCCGTGTAGCTTAAATGACGAGCGTGTACTGTGTAGCGACCGTGTAGCTTTGTCAGCAGTTTTTATAGTTTGTTTACAAGTTCGACTCCTCTAAAGGATTTTATAGCCAAAACTACCGTAAAACCTATATTAAAAATGCAGACTTCACAGTATAAAGAACATTTTTGACATTTCCCTATATTCCTTTGAAATAACCTAAACCTCTCTAACAGTTTGATTCTCCTATAACCCTTATTAAAACCACAATTTCAGATCTAATCCGTATCACAAATAACCTCGATGAGACTACTCGAAGTCTCAATCAGTTCCTTCAACAAATCGATGCCACGTGGAAACGATCGAAATCTCAGCCAACGATGAGACTAACAAAAGGCATGAGTTTGATGTGTGTTCGAGGTGTATCACTGATTAACCTAAAAATCTCGAAACTTCTAAAAATCAGTTTTTCGATACAGTAATCTTTATGAAATTTCTGATTGGACTTAATTGCCCAATGAAGCCCTTTTTCAGGCCCATCTGATCCACAAAACTATCAAGTCGGTTTAAAATCGAATGAGGACGAGCTATTGAGGTTGAAAGCAGAAAAACTGGCAGAGGAGTTGAAAAAGGAGAAGGATAGGAAACACAGTTTTATGTGAGTTTGTAAGATGCTTATAAAACATAGTAGATTTCGAGATATACCGCTTTGCACCCATCTGACCTCAGTTATGGGGCTTGGTAGGTTTGTAGCGGTGTATCTCATTCAGATGATTTTTAACCAAAAAAGTGTCAACTACAAAATCAAAGATCTAATTTTGTTGAGTAACTTTTGAAATTTTCAAAATAATCTAACAAAGTATACTGTGTTTTGTATATCCTCAAAGTTAAGCGTTTTAAATAAAAATGTTTAAATTTCCAGACCATCCGCCACTCCATCCCTTCAAAACAACATGGATCGTTTGAACAGTCTTTTGTACGATTTTTCAAATGAAGCACCTGAACAAAACTATTCACAACATCAGAATCAGAATCCGGTAGTCACAGCTACAGCGGTTTATAAATTTGAGCCGAGAAGTGCGAGGTGAGCCTTTTCCTTTTAAAAGTGGGTTTTGATAGCGGAAATTAGTGAAAACGATTTAGAAAATTGTGATTTCCTAGAAAAATGATATAAAAAGGACTAAAAGTGGCTGAAATGGACAAAAATGGCCCACCGTTCATCCTGTATCAAGCGCCCAGCTTATAGGTACATTTTGAGCCAATTTATCTCGGTTCCTGTACGAGATATCAAAAAGATATTAACTGACAAAATGTTGAAGATATTATGATAAACATTTTGTTAGTTGACCACTTCTTGATATCTTTTACAGAAAATGAGCTATGTGTGCTCAAATATGAACCTAATTGCTGATGCCGGCTGCGCTCGACAGACAGCTTTGACCCAATATTTCTCGGTTCCTGTGAGAGATTTAAAAAAATAATTAACTGATAAAATGTAACTTATGTTATGATAAGCATTTTATATGTTGACAACTTTTTTACAGTAAATGAGATATATGAGCTCAAACTTGGCGGTTCGGAAGCATTCTAGTGTTTAAGGTAATCAAAAATGACCTGTTAGGGTGGGGAGAAATAAAAGTGTTCCATCAGTCATTATCAACATCTAATTGTAGGACTTTTTTATGACAATCTTGAAAACGCAGAATTTTCCAGAGAACTCCCTTTAAACCGCGGAGATATCATCCGCATCATCCGAGACGTCGACGCCTACTGGATGGAAGGAGAACGAAACGGACGGTGTGGAATATTCCCGAATTCCTATGTCCAAATTAATTCTGGAAGCCAGTCGGATAGTCAAAAGATGCGAGCGATCTATCCGTTCACAGCGAGAAGTGATACAGAATTGAGCTTGAAGAGGGTGAGAAACTTCAAAAATCATGAAAAAAGCGTCTAGATAGTCATAAAATCAGTGTTCTATGCTCCAGACAAAAAGCAAAAGAAAAATAGGCCAGTGTGGTTTTGAACCCCGGATGCTAGATTAGAAGTTGGAGTTGTTACCAGTTGAGCTAAATGTACACACGCGGTAATGTACACACGCGCTCTGACTGTGACCTCCACGTATCACCAACCTCATAATAACCTTCAAAAGGGCGCCACCGCCCGCACCCGTTTGGCTTACCCGGTAATATCGTCGACTTGAAAACTGGCATCCAGGGTTCGAACCCCGCTGGGGAAATGTTCTTTTTCTTTTTGTGTAGAGTCTGCGAAACTAGTTTTAAGCATTTCTTCTTTATTTTTATGCACTTTTTCATTTCCCTCACCTTCAAATTTCCATATTTGCAGGGCGAAATCGTGACCCGCCGACGACAAATCGATTCCAACTGGTTGGAAGGATCCAACCAAATCGGAATCGTCGGAATCTTCCCGGCTTCCTATGTGGAATCACTGGAGACACATGCGCCAGAGCCTCCAATGGCCCAGGGAGTGTTCCCGAATCGACCGAAGACACCGAAGATTGAGGATCAATATCAGAGCTACAGTAATCCAAGAGGAGGAATGGAGCAGCAGTATCAACCCCAGCAAAGTTATCAGTCGGAGAGATATCAACCATATCAACCACAACAACAAGTTCACCAACAGCAGCCACCAGTTGCTACAGTAGTCCCAAATAACAAAGTTCGATTTGATTTGCCATCCGGATCGGAGACCAGTTTACAGATGTAAGATTTGAGATTTTAAAGTGGTGGTCTAAAAGGCCACCATGGCAAAATGACCTGGAAATGGCCTAACATGCCCCTGGCGTGTTTTCTGGCTCATTTTACCGTGGTGGCCTAACTTTCGCAAGTTGAGTTTTCTAAGCCAACACGTAAAAATGCTCTAGACAACATACCAGAGTCATTTAAGGTCATTTGTAAGACATTTTAACGTGGCCGCCTAACTTTATCAAGCTGGGTTTTCTAGGCCACCGCGTTAAATGACCTAGGAAACGTACCAGGGTCACTTTAGGTCATTCTCTGCCTAAAAAATAAGGTGGCCTAGAAAACCCAAGATGAAAAAGTTCGGCCACCATATTCAAATCACCTAGAAAAGAAATCAGCTGAATACCAAACCAATTCTAAGCCAAAGAAAAGCTGGTGGCCTAGAAAACTGAACTTGCGAAAGTCACCTCAAAATGACCTAGAAAATCAGACCAAATCTAGGTCATTTTGAAGTGGTGGCCTAACTTTTGCAATGTGAGTTTTCTAGGACACCATGAGAAAAAGAACTAAAAACATACCAGATGAGTATTAGACGAATTCTAGGCCATATTTACGCCGTGGCCTAACTTTTGTTAGTTGATTTTTCTAGGCCCTCCAACCCACAACCCCCACACCAAGTCCCAATTCAACACCAACCGAGTAGCTACGGAATGAAACGAATCGAGTACGAGCCGCCACACGAAGAGCCTATTCTGGAGCAGTACAGAAAGCCGAACGACGAGCCGAAACCTACGACAACTACAATTCCGACAAAAAAAGACAACAATATCCTCATGAACGCCGCTTCTCTAATTCCCAAAGGGTCTGAAATGTAAGCCATAACTCTATTTCGTCCAATAGAGCGCATTCGCCTACAGGTACCGAGCCGTCTACCCGTACCAACCGCAAAAAGACGACGAACTTCAGCTGTACACAAACGATATCATATTTGTAGTGGAGAAGTGTGATGATGGATGGTACATTGGTACATCGCTGCGAACCGGCGAGTTTGGAATCTTCCCTGGAAATTATGTGAAACGCCATTAACTGTTTTTGAAATTTTTATGAAAAGAATCACTTTTTAAAAGACATATTTTTTGAAATTTTATCTTATTTTTGAAATAAACCGTGAACTTGACCTAAATCCATTCAACTGACACTGAGCGAGACGTTTTTTTCCAGCCAACACACTCCACATATTATCAGTCAGTATTGATAGCAAAAAGTATTAACTATACAATTTGCAATGAAGAAGATGAAACTTCGATTCGTGTTGTGTTTTGTGATGTTGATGATGATCGTTGGATGTGAAGCGTTTATTGATCCTGACATAAATCCTCCAGGCTATGTACCGGAAAGGATTCGCCCACTAGACGAAATAGAGAACCAAAATCGACTGGAAAAATGTAGTATTCCACCGCCGTAAGTTTGGTGTCTCTCAAAGCATCAAAAAGGCAGTAGGAAGTCGTTATTAGCGAATTTTGGGTCCCTTGACTTTGACCCAATTTATCTCGATTCCTGTAAGAGGTATCAAAAAGTGGTCAACTGACAGAATGTTTATTATATCGTGAGCTACATGTTGTCAACTGACCCTTTTTTGATATCACTCACATTTGAAGAGATATATGAGCTCAAACATGTGGGCCCACTTGGTGACGCTGTCTGCGCCAACACCTGACATCTTTGACCAGCTTTATATAAGTCCCTGTGAGAGATAGTAAAAAGTTGTCAGTTAGCAAAACGTTTATCTGAATATGAACTACATTTTATTAGTAAAACACTTTTTGATGTCTGTCATAAAAAGGAAGATGAAGGGGTCAAAGTCAGGGGACCTTCCATTTGTCACTTTGTTTTTGTATCTCGCTACCTTCATACTTTTAGTCTCTCTAAAAAGTACGTTCGCAACGACACTTGGTGGATCGGTCGTCTTACTTTTGGCGGAAAAAAATCTGGAAATTATCGATTTGAGGCAGCATTGATATCCACAAGACATGCTATTATATCGTCCGAAATCGTAGAAGTGTACCCAAAGCACTTAATAACAGTGCGGAAAGACATTGGAGTTGGCTGTTCCTCTGAGTAATTTTATTTGAAAATTAAAAGTATTTCATTCTTTTTACAGAGCACCAGAGCTGTTGGAATTTTCCAACGGAAAGGATCAAGATCCGTGGTTGATTTTCACAAAGAGAAATGGCACAGAGCAAAGATCCCAATGGAGAAAAGCGTTTTATTATGGGAGATGTACGACAAACAAAACCGATGGAATTATCATTGTAGAGTTTGAGAAAGATATTGATATTCCATATGTCTGTATTCCAGGTATTTTAGAAAATTTCGGAAGTTAAAATTTTTAAAATATTTTAGACTACAACTATTATGATTCCATTGACAAAACGGAATCAGTTTTTTCGGTGAAAACTCTCTCAAAGAAATCTCCCATCACAAAGGACAAATATGAGTATGAGGCACAAGACGGAATGGTATGCCACTTATTTAGAAAAAATCTCGAAAATTTTTCAGATTAAACGCTGTGATGATAGATTCTGCTGGTCTCCAGTCAATCAAACACAGGACTACAATAAATTCCATAACGATAAGGGAGTCAGTATGCCATTTTTGACCAAAGATGAAAGACCATTACTGTTTGGCTTTGGTTTCAAAGTTATCAAAAAGCCGAGAAGCTTCGCGGTCACTGATTTGGCTGATTTCCTCGAAGGGCTCTGTGAGTACGTCGGTGTATGTCCAGAGTGAGTTCTAGTTTTTAGCCTTTTTAAAAGTGCATTTGAACGCTTGTAAAAAACATAAAGAGTATGGAAATCTAATTTTTGCCACTTTTACCCACTAAAAATCATCTAAAAATCATTTTGGGAATCTAAAATTTTTCACCAAAAATCTTCGAAAAAAATTCCTGAAAAAAATTTTTGTAGAAGGAAGTTATAGGCCAAAATTACAGGAATCGTGAACGAATCACTCCAACTGCAACTGCAACAATAACAACAACTGCAAGGACTGCAAGAACTACACCGCGTCCTGTACCAACAACTACTGACTACGTTCCTGAATTTTTGTTTGATGAGGAGGCTCGGGATTTTGAAGAACCGTATTTCAAAAGAAATCGGACCAGAAAAGGAGGAACGAAGAGAGAATGGAAGATTACTGTAGTTTTTATGATCTCTCTTGTCTTGTTGGTCTTGGAATAAAAGAGATTACTGTTTCGTCTTTTTTTTTTAAGTTTTAAGGGCAAAGAGAAAGCGGCAGCCCGATTGCATTCATAAGGGTGAGAACGACAGCTGTACGCAGAGTGACATTAAAGGGGGACTCCGACCAAAAATTTTTATTGCATTAAAATATGTTAAAAGTTATCTATTTTCCGAATATTATTGCGAAAAAATTCAAAAAAAATCCGGAATTCCCAAAAAACGCCGTTGAAAGAAAATTCAAAAAAATGTGCCGCCGGGGGACGAGGATTTTCAGTGAGAAACCTAGGCCACGGCAGCGGGCGCCTTTCCTACGTGGCAATTTTTCCGGATTTTTTTCATTTCATGTCCGGCAGGTAAAAAACGTAAAAAACCACTGTCGGCGACTTGAAAAAAAAACTGTCAGGTGCCGTGGCCTAGGTTTCTCACTGAAAATCCTCGTCCCCCGGCGGCACCTTTTTTTGAATTTTCTTCCTTTTCAACGCCGTTTTTCGGGGATTTCGGATTTTTTTAAAATTTTTTCGCAATAATATTCGGATTAGATAACTTTTAACACATTTTAATGCAATAAAAATTTTTGGTCGGAGTCCCCCTTTAAGCGTTGTACACCGTCACGGTAGAATGCATACCCTAACTCCAAAACACCTCCGAAAAATCTCCTGTCCCCCCACCTTTAAATAAACCGTGAACTTGACCTAAATTGATTCAACTGACACTGGGTGAGGCGCTTTGTCTAGCCAACGCACTCCAAATAGTTCAGTCAGTATTGATAGCAAAAAGTATTAACTATACAATTTGCAATGAAGAAGATGAAACTTCGATTCTTATTGTGTTTTGTGCTGGTGATGATGATCGTTGGATGTGATGGCCAAGTAGTGAAAACGATTAGCAGATTGAACGAAAAAGAGAACCAAAATCGACTGGAAAAATGTAGTACTCCACCGCCGTAAGTTTGGCTTGTAGGAAGATGAGCTTGCAGCTCATTTAACAGCGAAATTTGGATCCCTTATTTTGACCCAATTTATCTCGATCCTTGTGAGAAGTATCAAAAAGTGATCAACTAAAAAAACCTTTAGCATACTGCGAAACCTATATTAAAAGGGCTCCTTTAATAGAACGGTCTCCATTCAAAATGTGATGTTTGAAATTGAAAATTTTCTCGGAATTCCTCAATTTCCCAGAAAATTTTAAATCTCCCTTATTTTTATATCATTGTAATTAATAGATTTTTATAACATTCAAACGGGAGTTCGTCGAACTCTCCGATGAAAAATTTCAAAAATGTTAAAATAGAAGAACCTGCTCTAATTGAAGGGCCGCTGTAATAGAAGGGCCCTCCGAAGGTAAAAATAGAAGGGCCGGCCCTTCTGATACAGTTTTTACCGTAACCTAATAAACATTTTATCAGTTGACCACTTTTTCATATCTGTCACAGAAAACGAGATAAAGTGGGTAAAAGTGACGGTTAGTGAACGGTATGGAACGAATTTCTGTTACAAGAGAAGTGTTTGTTTTCAGAAAAGCGTTGAGAATTTTCTCAAACTTTTGTGATTGGTACTTTTAGACACGCTGATTACAGAACTGAAATCAGTTTTTCAACCCCGGCCCTGTGAAAAAAGTTATGAGCACTGAAAGTGATTTCAGTGCTAATTTCTCACTTTTAGAGTAAATTTTTGAAGGGATTAATAACAGCTTTTCGGGATTTTTCGAATGTTAATCGTACTTTTTATGTTGTTCTATAATCTGAGAAAGTTTCCTCATTTTTCAAAAAAAATTGTTTGTTGAAAAAATGTCGCTATGTGGTACCTCCTTTGGAATTTTTTCAAATTTTCGCAAAATTTTAAAATGTGCTAAAATGAAGCCTGAACGTAGAGAAACGATAAAATGAGTTTTTTCGCAAGATTTCGTAGCCCATATTCCTCTAGAAATCACAAAAAAGCAATTTCTGTTCAAACTTCAATGGGTCGTAACTCTTTGATAAATCTCTAGAAGCACTCAAAACTTGTAAAAACATAGATTTACATAATTACTCATTTATTTATTTTTTCCAACCGCAAAATAAACCTGTTTAGGGTATATTATTGACTAACACTACGCCTAGGGAAGACTTTCTAGTGTTGCTTCCAGAAATTTTTTCGAATTATGTCAAAAAGTATTATTATTTCTAAAAATATTAAAATTGAAATGAAAAATTTTTTCAAAAAAATAACTATTTAAAATTTTGAGACTTCCAGAGGGAACCAGATAAAAAACAAAAAATATTCAGGACAGGGGGATTGAACCTAACCCTAGTCAGGTACCTCCGTCCCTCTTCCCCACTACACCACTTCCGCTGCTTGGTGGATCGGTCGTCTTACTTTTGGAAATAACGATAAAGGAAATTTTCGATACGAAGCGGCACTGATATCTCCAAGACATGCTATTATATCGTCCGAAATCGTAAAAGAGTACCCAAAGCACTTAATAACAGTGCCAGGAAGAGGAGTTGACTGTTCCGTCAGATAATTTTGTTTGAAAATTCAAAGTGTTTTATTTGTTACAGATCACCGGACATGATGGATTTTTTCAACGGTAATCTTCAACCGTGGTTGATTTTCACAAAGAGCAATGGCGAAAGGCAAAGTTTCACATGGGATAAGGCGCTGTATTATGAAAGGTGTACGGAAGACAAAACCGATGGAATTATCATTGTAGAGTTTGAGAAAGATATTGATATTCCATATGTCTGTATTCCAGGTATTTTAGAAAATTTCGGAAGTTAAAATTTTTAAAATATTTTAGACTACAACTATTATGATTCCATTGACAAAACGGAATCAGTTTTTTCGGTGAAAACTCTCTCAAAGAAATCTCCCATCACAAAGGACAAATATGAGTATGAGGCTCAAGACGGACATATTGAGCGCTGTGATAATAGATTCTGCTGGTCCCCAGACAATCAAACACAGGACTACAAGAAATTCCAGAACAGGAACCAAGTCAGTATGCCATTTCTGACCAAAGACGCAAGGCCAATACTGTTTGGATTTGGTTTCAAGTGTATGTGTATTCCAAATGACACAAAAAATGTCATAGATTGGTATTCAGCTATCAGTGATAAGGAAAACAAGTTCGCGGTCACTGATTTGGATGATTTTCTTATAGGACTTTGTGACTATGTCCGTGTATGTCCAGGGTGAGTTATATTGGCTTGTCCATAACTTCTTTCGATTTAATTTTTCGGACCAAATCAATTGGATGTAATAGAAATTCAAAATTTCTACAAAGTTTTCCAAATTTTTCGATTTTTCCTAATATTGGACTTGGCGAATTTTCTAGTTTTTGCAATCTCAGTATTTTCCAAGGATTCGATTCTTTTCCGATTTTCCGATTTTTTGAAATTTTTCGAAATTTGAATTTTTTTGATATTTTTTGCAAATTTCCAAATTTCCGATTTTTGCATTTTTTCGATTTTCGCAAAAATTTTGGGATCTATTGGCCAATCCATGCATTTTCTCAGATTTCTCAGACAAAATAGGATTTTCAAAGTACCACAAAATACTACTAATTCAAATTGAGCCTTCTTTTCAGAAAACCGACTAAACCTGGAATCCCCACAACAACAACTGCAAGAACTACACCGCGTCCTGAACCATCAACTGACTACGTTCCTGAATTTTTGTTTGATGAGGAGGCTCGGGATTTCGAAGAACCGTATTTCAAAAGAAATCGGACCAGAAAAGGAGGAACGAAGAGAGAATGGAAGATTACTGTAGTTTTTATGATCTCTCTTGTCTTGTTGGTCTTGGAATAAAAGAGATTACTGTTTCGTCTAGTTTTTTTAGTTTCAATACTTTTTGGAGTCATTAATCATGTAAATAATACGAACGATCGGGTCATAAACTTGCTTTCAATTCAATATACGTCTTTCAAAACCTGTGATAGCCTCTATAGCGTAGGCTCACAAGTCTGAGCTCTTATATCTCGATTCCTGTAAGAGATATCAAAAGGTGGTCAACTGATAAAATGTTTGCAATTCTATGATAAAAATGTTCTCAGTTGACCACTTTTGATATCGTTCATAGGAGACGAGATAAATTGGGTCCAAGTTGACACTGAGTCGGTGGCATAGGTGGCGCTACAAAGGGTTCACAAGTTTGGGATTATATATCTCATTTCCTATAAGAGGTACCAAAAAGATGTAAACTAATAAAATATAGATGATATTATGGTAAACGTTTTGTCAATTGATTACTTTTTGATACCTCCTACGGAAAACGAGATAAATTTTGTCAAAGTTCTTGGTCAGCGACGCAACAAGCCCCACCAAGCGGGCCCACAAGTTTGAGCTCACATATCTCATTTTTTGTAAAAGATATCAAAAAGTAGTCGACTGATAAAAATTAGCTTATATTATGATGAATATTTTATTAGTTTTTCACTTTTTGATATTTTTCATAGCAACCAAGATAAACTGGGTCAAAGCTAGAAGCTCGACTGGTAGCAAATGGTGGTTTTCAAATTGCTTTATTTAAAAAAAAAAAAGAACACTTGGACAAAATTCCAAGTAGAAAATAAATGAGATTCAGGGACAACGAGGGAGTGTGTGGAGAATTGTAAAAAGACCAGACGAGAAAATTCCAGGATCAGATTGCTCCAGAACCTTCCAGATCATTAATGTCCACGTGGAAGTGGACGAGATCCGTGCGAGCGTAGAACTCCTCGTCGGTGCCATAGGGTTGGGTGGTGGAGGCGGGGCCTAGAGGGGATAGGGTAGACGATCTTTGGGTTCCAGAAGATCCAGAAGATCCAGAGGCTACAGTATCCCCGAATGGCCCAGGAGCAGATGCCATGGTGGTGGAGGTGGCCATCACTTGTCGCTTCTGTCTTTCAGGCTAAAAATAGAAAATATAGGAAAGTGAAGTTTAGGCAAGTGCGTTCTACTGGACCTTCAGTTAATTAGGTTAATAGGGGTTAAGAAAGAGCGCTCCACTCACCATATTAGTACTAGATGTCATTGGTACAGTAGTAGAAGATCCCATGACTCCACTAGAAGACGTAGAGGAGTTCCTTGAAGAGGCTAGATATCCGGGTAGAGCAAGATTGATAGCTGACTTCAAACTCTGAGCCATTTGACTGTTCACATCGGTGGCTGAAAAATGTAAAAATTCTAATTTCAAATTCTAAAAGTCACTTACCATTATCAATGGCTCCCATTCCCTCCAGCGAGTTGTTAGAATAGGTTAACGTAAAATTATGAAGATATTGAATATTGTCGTAGTTGGGACCAGCCACTGGCATAGCTTGTGAGCCAGCGATCGCTAGAAAAATGAGTCCCAACATGATTCGATTAATCGTTGTGATGTTTCCTTCTATCTTTCGGGGGCCTTTATATAGGCGGGGATGTGAACTCGTACTTTTTTGTTTGTCTCACCTAGGGAATGTATGTGTGTGCCAACTTGTAAGTACTACACACCCCTTTCGAGGGTGAGCAAAAACCCGATGTCAACAAATGTTGCCCCAATGGATGGTAGCAGACGGAAGCACAAAGTTTGGGAACTTCTTTTTAGAGTACGCTCAATAAGATCACATGGGCTGGGATGTATCCTAGACCAAAAAGCAGTTGAATACTATTCTAGATACAACAGACAAAAGAAAAAAATCCAAGCTCGGGTTTGAACCAATGTGTTGTCGCACCGAAACGGCGCGCTTTTCCGGCTGCGCCCACAGGTGATTCGCGCAGCGTCTATAATAGGTGAAATATTGTTCGCGGAAAGTGGCCATGGGTACATCGGAACATGCCTGCCGCAGGCCATTTACAAACCAATCGCGAACGCGCCACCGCAAACGACCAATATTCGCCCTATCGCGAGCAAATCTCCTACAATTGGCTTGTCGCGAGAGCAATAATTGGCATATATTATTTCGAATCTGGAAGCTAGCAGCTGCTAAAAATTGTTTATTACACAGAAAAAACAATGAAAAGCGAAAAAACAATTAATTAAGTTATATTATTCTCTTCCGCTGTTGTCGTACTGGCTGAAACGGCATCGGAGCTTCTCGTTTTGTCCATTTTTGCCTCAGTCGATGACGATGAGCAGAAGATGATGTTGATTGTAGTTTCGAAGTAACTGAAATGAATTATCTAGATTTTAAGCTCACAATTCTTTTTGTACTATACCTCTGACACAAGTTATCGACTGGACATTTTTTTCGAAATCCGCGAACTCAACACTTCCGTCTGAAATCAACTTTTTTCTCTGATATTCGTTTTCAAATTTACCCACTGTTCCAGAACTTTTTCCTTCCTCATTCTCAGTTGCATTTTTCCGGAGTGCCCAGTCGACATACAGGAAAATTGAGATTTTCTGGCACCCTGTAAAAATTAGATTAAAAATCTGGACGCTTCTTACCTTTTGAAAGTACAGAAGCAATGCTTCTTCCAGAGTTTTTCGAAATTTCGGCTTCTTGCTTCCGACTTTTGTCTTCCGGCCATTTTCTCTATTTTTCTGCAAACATAACGATACATTCATGGTTGCACAATATTCTAGTATAGTATTATATGTTAATTAATAGATTCCGAACAAAAACTGCGTAGAAAACGACGAAAAAAAGAAGTAAAGTATCCAAAATAAGAAAAAGAAGTCCGGAAAATAAAAAACAAGAATTTCTTCGCGATTGTTCAATTGTGGACCTTTTATAGGGCCAGTTAGTAAGATACGCATTTTGCTCGCGATACGCATTTTGCTCATCTTCCCGCTTCAAAACGCGCGCGCTGCCGTTTGCGCCACAGCCTCAACACTCGCATTGCCTCCGGAAGAAGGTGATAAACCTTGCCGCGTCGCGCGCTGCTCAGCTTCTGTAGCCAAAATCTACGTGGAATTTGTCATCACACATATCCCAACCATTTTTTTTCTAGCTTCTGACGTACCGCCGTTCAAATAAAAAACGTACAAATAATAGAGAGGCTCAGTCAACACATGAATTTTGCCACCAGCAAAAAAAATTGTAAAATTCTGAGTTTTGGTCTTCTAATACAAATTTTAGCGGGAATTTTGAAAAAAAAAAGGTTTCTTTTCGTCCATTAGCGAATTTGCGGGGGCGAAAAAAAGGTGTCAAACAGGAATCTTTGAATTTCAAACAAGCCCTTCGGTGTGTGTGCTCTTTGTTTGCAAGAATTTGTATCCAGATTTTTTTTCTATTTTTTCTTTTCTTGTCAAACACAAATTTTTATTTTACACAATGTGTGAACTCGGTCATTGGCCTCCTTGTGCCATCAAGGAGAGAGTAAATATACCCATGGGTGGTATTTTATATTAGATGATCAGAGATTTCTTCTAATTGAAATTTTAAATTTAGGTTTTTTAGTTGTTTATTTTTCCAAAGTCCACATTTTTGGGTCATGCTATACTTAGAATTTCAAATTTTCGAATTTTTCAACGCGCGAATTTTAAATTTTCCAACAAACGAGCCATCATGAACACTGCCGAGATCAAGAGAGAATTGTGATTCGAGGAGAAGGATTTTGGTATTTTTAGGCTTTTTTCAGCTTCAGAAATTGACTTTACAGGCTTGCTCATCTATTCTTCGTGGTTCCATTCATTATTCTCAACGTGCAGTATGTGTTGGCCATTATGCGTCGGCGCCGGCTTCAGAAGCAGTTTCGAGCGGTTCTTCAAGGTGGTGCTGGTACCGGGAACAGTTTCAAATCGGAGAAGAAAAGTGAAAAAACTGCTAAATCATAACTTTAATAAAAAAATTTTATTTTTTCGTTTTTTTCTCATAAAATGCTGGATTTTTTCGATATTTTTTTATTAAAAATGAATTTTTACACTATTTTCAGCATATTTTCAGCGATTTAATCCAAAATTCAACGAATTTCCCTATATTTTCCCCCAAAACCGCTCTCAAATGTGGGCGGCGCCACGCTGCCGCTAAACAACGCGCACTACGACACTCCGCTCTCCCGCTTGGGTCTCGCCACGATCGGCATGCGCCTTTAAAGTATGCAAGAGAGAAAAGTCTCTCTCCTAAAATTTTTTCGAGTTTTTTCAGCTGGATTTTGGTGCTTTTTGCCAAATTTTTGCAATTTTTTCTGAAATTTTGTTCGAAATTGCAGTTCTAATCGTTTTTCTTGCAGGGTACATCTTCCTACTCATTAGTCATGGTGAGTTTTTCAAATTTCTTTGGTGGAATTTTGAAAATTAACTATTTCAACTTTTTAGGGTATTGATATCAGCCACAAGCATGATCGCGTCGCCCGCAGAACGGCCCCAAAGAGTGAGAACCCGTATCTCCGCCTTCTGTCCAAGGTAAATTATTGATTTTTGCTCGTCAGAAGCCAACAAAATATTCGAATTTTCCAGCTCTACGCTTTCCTCGCTAGACGCACTGGAGAGAAGTTCAACGCCATCGTCTTGAAGAGACTCCGTATGTCTCGCCGCAACCGTCAGCCACTCTCCCTCGCCAAGGTTGCTCGCGTCGTCAAGCAGGCCGGAAACGAGAAGAAGACCGTTGTTACCCTCTCCACCGTCACCGATGATGCCCGTCTCTACGAGGTTCCAAAGATCTCTGTAAGTTTTTTCTTCTCTGAAATTTCTGCAGTTTACAAAGATGAAAGATAGAAAAAATCTAAATATCTCCATTTCCTAGCTCTGATTGCTCATAAAAAGCTATCGAATCAATATCTAATTTTCACTTTTGTTTCAGCTCGCCGCTCTCCACGTCACCGAGGGAGCTCGCGCCAGAATCCTTGCCGCCGGAGGAGAAATCATCACCCTTGACCAACTTGCCCTCAGATCACCAAAGGGAGAGAACACCGTCTTCCTCCAGGTAACTATTTCTCATCAAACTGGTGGAGGATCAGGATTGCCAAACCTTGAAGCTAAGCTCGTATTGCTCCCCACCCCAAATATCCAATCCCTCGTCATATCCACCCAATTCCCAAAACCATTTGGCGGAAATTGCAAAGTAGCCGCCAGCCATAACTGGGGAATCGAACGGTTTTGTAGGGTTCTCTCGGTCCTTTTTGGTTAAAGGCAGACGCTTATAGTTGAAGGCCCAATCGAAGGATCCTCTGGCTCCTTCGTCTTGTGGGCGGATCTCATAGGTTTCACAGTCTATGACATCCACGAATGGGCAGACTACAGTACGATAATCGTCAGCTATTGGGTCCAGGAGGGGCGGGAGCCAGTTGTAATTGCATTCTGAGTGGGCGTCG